GCATGCCAGGCGAGTGTGCTACTGCTTGAGCCACATCCCCAGCCCCTACCTCTGTCCTTTTAAAGGGGATTCTGTCCATCATCAGACTTAAGCTCCTTGAGGGCAGGAACCATGGTTTCTCCATAAAAGTTTATTGACTGAAATCAAGTTGAGGGGATGCTAGAGGGAGACAGAAGGGCCTCTTTAGGAATAAGAGTCCAGGAAATGCTGTTTCCCCTGCTCTAGGCTATGCCAGATTTGGGCAGATAACGAAACAAATAACGATAGTAACTAAACATACTAGTACTCTACATGGGTTATTTTCTTTAGCCCTCCTGGTGACCATATGGGATGACATTATTATCCCTATTTTAGAGATAAGGAAACCAGGCTCAGAGGAAGGAAGCTGCCCAAAGGTCCCAGGGCCTGAGTTGGTAGCCACTATCCCAAGGGCTTCTGAATGCTTTTCTTCTATCCAAACAGAGGTCAGGTTCCTGGGCCCTGGTGCAGGGCTGTCTGCAAGGCTGATTTAAGCAGACCAGACCAGCGTGCAGGTGGTGGCGCCCCCAAGTGGTCAGCCAAGGCAAACTCCTATTTCCACCCAGTTATTCTTTCCCAGGGCTCCACAGGCATGTCAGAGGGATACAGGCAGGAGGGAAGCCAAACCCATCTGGACAGCCTCCAAAAAATGTGGGGAAGGGCAGAAAAGGTGGGTGGGGTGGCATTTACAGTGACACAGCGACAGGGAAGGTCTCAGGCTGAACCCAGATAGGGAAGCAGTGGTGCCTATGTAGACAGGAGGGGGCAAAAGGGCTGAATAGGAGCTGGAGTCAGAGTTGACAGTAAGGAATTATTATTACTAGTGAACAGTGCTTCCTTAGCCTCAGGCATCGGGCCTTGACCTCACCTAAACCTGACAACCACCCAGTGAGGTAGGAACAATTGCACTTTGCCTTTGATAAAACCAGGGCTCAGAGAGGTACAATCAATTGCCTGAGAGGGTAGGTGGCTGTGGAAAGGAACACAAAACTCCATGTAATTGTACAAGTTGTGCTTTGAACTCCACCCCTGAGCCCACAGCTCCCATTCTTGCAAGAGCATTAAGGAGAAACTCTCTCCAGGGCTGGGACTTCCAGACGACTGCTCCCAGCCCAAGGAGGTGCCTGCACATGCTGAGCTGAACCTGTGGGGTGGCTGCACCAAGCTTGGAGCCTTGCAGCGCATGCTTCTCTCCTTTGCGGTTTCCCCAGACTTAGACTCAGTAGGTACCAGTCAGACGGTAGTCATGGCAACAGCTGGTGGCCCAGATGCTGCAAAGAACTGCTCTGATCCCTGAGGGTGTGGTCCAAAGCTTGTGGTAATTAGTCATTCCATTAACAAAATATTTATTGAGCATCTATTATGGGCTAGGCACTGGGCCAGACAGCAGTGACTAACACAGATGAGGTCTCTGTTCTCATGGAGTAATAATAATAATTATTATCATTATAACGCAAGAAACTTTTTTTGGGTAGTGCTTTCTGTGTCAGGCAGTGCGATAAAACTTTTGCACCTATTATCTTCTTGATAATAATCTCCCCATAAAACCGGAACAGAGCTAATCGATAAACACTGTAATTTCAGAAGAGGAAAAATGTGACTCTGAGAGTTTAAGCAACTCGTCTAAGGTCACACACAGCTGGTGCGATGCAACGAAGCAAGGAAGCAACTCTGGGCAATTGGTCCTGCAGCCCCACTTCGTCTGTCCCCCAGCCCCTGGGGCGTGTCCGAGCACTCCCGCGCCAGCCTCTCAACTAACACTGTCGCCTGCAGGTCCTGCCTGGGCTGACTGACAGCCCTACTCGGCAGGAGGCCAGGGAGGCTCGGACCCGTCCAAAGTCGCTCCGCTGGACGGAGGTGGCATGAAACCCG